TGGATCTCCTCCGGAGCAGGCGGGGATCAAACTGATGTGGAAGTAGCTTAAGCTTCTTAGTGCTGTGCTTTAACCCGCTGCGCCACCAGGGAGAGCCCCAAAATATTTTTAACAAATTAAATTGAAGATTTTTAGAAAATGAGAATTATTCTAAATTTAATTGGTTAATGTGAAGCACCTATGGCGTCAAACCATAATATTGGATGTTACAATTTTACCCTGTTTAAATCAAAGTTACCTTAAGTTAGAAGGGGCATCCTGAAATTAGAATTGTCAGCTGAAAAGTAAACTTGTCTCTTTAAATTTGTAACTGATAGTTGCACATAAATCTGTTCTTTACTGCTATTTAAGTAATTTCTCAAATCTCTTATAGTAACTGAGGTTTTACTCACTTTAAGAGTAGGAATTCACTGATGAACTTTAGATTTACTTTCTGGTCCTTATTGGAAAGGAACTGAAGAATTTAATATTTATGAGTAAATATGTCTTCAGTCACCTTAAAAAACTGAAACATGCTTAAAAATTAAAGCTATTTCTTTCAATTCAAGGACACAATGATACAAACAGGTTACATTTTACAAATGCTTACAAACTAGAAATTAGGAAATAAAGGGAGGAAGGGTTAGGAGGTCTAATTAATATGTGAAATTAAAGCTCATAGGAGTCACCAGGTGAGGAGATAGTGTGTGTGCATTTTTAAGATGTATTTATTTATGCATACAGAACAAGGGTACAAGCCAGAGGTGCAGGGGTGGTAAGAGGATTCACCAGTGACAGAGTGTGGTGCAGATTGATGAAATAACTGCTGAGGGGAGCAGCGGGTGGGTCAGGAGAGGTCTGCTGAATCATGTGGGTCAGCTCCTGAAGTGGCTTTAGCTTTTTAGTGCTGTGCTTTAATCAGCTGCACCACTAGGGAGGGCCTGAGTGTGTGTTTTCAAAGGCCTAAGGGGCAGTGACAGATTTTGCATGTCTAAGACTAGTATCAAGATGAAACTGGTTTTGGGAATGGAGCAAAAGATGGAAAAGCCAAAGAAAGTACTGATAATCTGAGAGAGGTATCTTAAAAATGAACTTTATAGGGTCAAGCTTGATAAGAATGACCCATTGTAATGGTTTTTCTTTGTTTTAGCTAAGCTTTAATATCAGTAGTATATTTATGTGAAATCAAACTGGTATTTTATCTGCTAAAAGAACAAAACATTTTTAACTATGGTCATCTTTTTAATAAACTGCTCAGTAATTAATAATCTGGTACTTTAAGGCCTAAGATTAGCTAGAAAGAAATCTTGATAGTATTACAGTACTGTGAGAGAAATATTTTGCTCTTTATAGCATTGCCAATCTAAGGGTAACTAAGTACTGTATTTATAAAGTCCCTGCAAGTATGTTAAGTCTGTGACAAAAATTTCCTAGTATCAAAACTCTCAAATAGTAGTCTTTAAGTAATTGAAGAAAAAAATGCATGGGAGACCTTAGAAAAACTCCTAAGACACCCATAAAACTATACTTGTAAAAATAGAACTATGAAACAAATTGATCTAATCTGGGTGTATTGGAATGTATGTAAATAAATATTATTCTAAAATTATATGAAACTTGCTAAGAGTTTGTTTTGGTGAAATATTACTGGTTAATTCTGGTTATTCTAAAAGATTATATGTCACAAAATTAGGCAAATTCCTGTCAACTGCAATAATATTAAATTTTAATTATGATTATTTTAAAGTCTTTTTGCCATTAACAGAACTTACTTTGCTTTTTATTCAGAGAAATTCACAGAAAAAGGACTCTGCTGCACACCCTGTAAATACATGCTTATCAGGGAATTAAGAAAGAATTATTAAAACTTACAAAAATTGTTAATAAGAGATCGAGATTTCCTACATGGAACTGAATAAACTATGAACTAATATTTTTGATGACTATTTGAAACAGTAATTTTTATGTTTTGCTTTCTCCAGAAAACAACTTTTTGCTGAGCTGAGTCATGATCTGCTGTGATGGCAAATTCAGACCTTTTGTGACCAAAACTGAAACATCTGCTTTTTTCCCTGATACCCCCCAAATGTTAGTGTTTACTAAGTTTACATTTGTATTGGTAATGTATTTGCGTAAGTCCAATAAGATTTTTTTTTTCCTAATAAACTCTTGAAAAACATGTTGGTATTCCTGGGATTTAGCTACAATATACTAATCTGCTTACAGGAGTGAATCTAGACTGACCTCAGTCTTCAAAGAAAACACAGGTTGATACCTGGCTTTCAAGAGTCACCACTTCACTGAAAGATACAGGCAGGCAAAGAGTGATCATGGTAAGATCAAGGCATGGGCCTGAGCTCTGAGAAGTCATTAAGAGTTTAACTTCTTTATGAGAAGTTCCAACAAGGTAGATCTTAACATATATTTTGTTCTTATTGTGCTTATGAAGAGAACTAGCCAAGTTTATTAGAACTAGAATTAACAGTAAAACATTTTACTGCATTTGGCAGAATTGGAGAAATGAAGAAAAAGAACTCATATATGTTTTTTAACATCACTTTCTGGTCTCCTCAATTATTTTTAGTGTTTGCATTCCTATCTGAACACTGGAATGGATCCTAAACTTTTCTAATACCCAGCTATCATACTCCAAACTGAGGTTTCCAACTTTTTTTCTTTCCAATCTTTTTTTTTTTTTAAAGACTTATTTATTTATTCATACAGAACTGGGGTACAGGCCAGAGGCTCAGGGGCGGTGAGAGGCTTCACCAGAGACCGAGTGGGGAGAAGAACAGGCAGATCGACGAAGTACACTGCTGAGGGAAGCAGCGGGCGGGTCAGGAGAGGTCTGGCTCGCCATGTGGTCTCCTCCGGGGCAGGCGGCAGGCGGGAATCGAACTCATGCGGAAGTGGCTTCAGATTCTCAGTGCTGTGCTTTAACCCGCTGCGCCACCAGGGAGGGCCTCCAATCTTTTTAACTTGTATTGACGGAAACCAAACTGCCTGTTCTGAACTGAAGATGGAGAATTTTTAACTTCAGAAATATTACAAAGATGGTGTGCCTAAACATAACGGTTACTGCTTTCCTAACTATCTGATGACATCATCTTGCAAAGGAGGATGTCACTGCCTTTCCCCTAGCTGAAGATGCTTCTACCCTGACATCTGCAAATCTTTTATGCTTCATGCTGCTGCCTGCAGTCTAGACAGGATCAGGGCTTGCCTCAATCTTTAACTTCCATTCTTCTTATTTCCTGACCAGATCAAGGCTTGCCTCAATCTTTAATTTTCATTTCTTCTCATTTCCTGACTAGGTCAGGGCTTGCCTCAATTTTTAACTTTCATTTTTCTTATTTCCTTTAAATGACGTTTATTATTCTGCTTGCCAGAAATTGGACACAACTGTTTAATTGGACTCTGAACCATCAAGTAAAGGCACAATGGATAAAAGTATTGGAAAGTGCTAATTTCCTCCCCTCCCCCATTTACAAGCAGTCACCTTGGACTGCAATGCCCTGTAAAGCCATGCTTTATATATAGATAGATATAGATATAGATATACACACATGCAGGTTCAGGGGCTTTTGCTTCTGTAACCTGACTCACCCAGGCGTGCTGCAAAGGCACTCTGGAAGACACATGGAGGAGAGATATGTAGGAGACTTGAAGACACACATAGGTTGGAACACCTTGGGACACTATCCTTACAATACAGAACAATGGCAACTGTTATTCTGATTTGTATTTTTGTATCGTCTGTCCTAGAGCTGCCTTATTCCTTTCTTGCTGTTCACCACCAGGAAAATCGGTCATCTAAGAATCTGTGGCAAGCTTTCAGGCCTCACAGGACTTCTACAAGCAGCTGTGTTTGGCTAAGCATTTGTATACAGGGGGATAGGTAATTTTTGGTTAGAACTATCCTTCATCTCCTCTCTAAGCACACTGATTCTATTAAAGACCTATCACATCAAGAGTATGTTTTCTGAGCGTCCCTGGTGGCTTAGGGGTTAAGTCTCAGTGCTGTTACTGAGAGTTCCATCTCCTGCCAAGGAGTTGACTCACATGAATACATACCAGTGCAACAGACCTCTCCTGTCTCCCCTTAGCAGTATATGTCAGTAGCTCTGCCTGTTCTGCTCCTCTCTGTCTCTGGTGAATCTCTGCATGCTACCCACCCCCACGTTTCCCCCCACACACACCTATGCTTACACATCTTCTATACCAAAAAAAGTATGCACTTTCTTTTTCTTTATGCTCAGAGATGGCCAGACCCCTTTAAAGCAAACACCCCTCGACAATGTGTGGTCCCTCAGTCATGTATGAACAATTGGAATATTAAATTAAAAGCTCCCAACAAAATGTTTCTATGCAGAATCAATGGTGCCAAAAGGACAACAAAGGGCTAAAGGTTACTACTATAAAGTTACATGGGTAAATAATGGTCTGACAAACCTCTGTAGGTGAGTAGAGGTAGAAGAGTTACCTTTGACTTTTAAGAGAAAATATATTATTCAAGACTGTAACAAAGTTTAATTCTGACCAAAAGGGGAGACTATAAACATGTAAACTTTTCTGGGGACCCAGCTTTAGTGTGGTGAGCAAACTAAAGCTATCAATCAGTCTGCTCAGAGAAAAAGGTGGAACTATGCAACAGCGGTTTCCCAGCTTTTGTATCTCTTCTAAGAGGAGGAGACAGGACCTTCTAAGGGGAAGACAGGCCTTCCCCTAGCATAAGCACACCTTTGGACCAGGACAATTTAGGACTGAACAGCCGTCCTTTCAAGAATTGTTACATTCTACCACAGAGCAAGGTTTGGGATGCTTCCCAGGTCCCAATCCCTCTTTTACCTAAGACATCCTTTCTCAGAGCATGTCTGAGATTTTTTTTTTCCACTTAATGTAGGTGAAACATGATTTCTGCTGAAAAAATATTCTACGTTATTAGATATAATTATAAAATGTTACCTAAAGCATAAATGCATACAAAATGAAGACCTTGAACAAAATCAAAATCAACTTACTAGTAATCATTGCTCCAGTGACAGAAGCCAGAAACCCGATGCTGACTGCAATCACAGAGATTACTCTTCCCTGCCTGTGTCTCTGCAGCATCACAAACATCAACACTCCTGCAGCACCATGGACAAACAGAGAGGAGAAGAGAGCCCAGAGAAAGATCCAGTACCACATCTCTGAAAAGAAAAGCAAAGTGTTAATAATTCTGTCGAAGCACAGCTCAGAAAATTCAGTTTAACAGTTAGCACTAATGCTTTAAGGGGAATTTAAATGATATGATACAAAAATAATAAACACGGTATGGCAGTACTAAATAAATTTCATCAACTATCATCACTAATGCTTGATGGTGAAAGTACTACATAAGTACTATGACTTACACTGTAATTTACTATAAATGTTTCCATCATATTGCTATCATCCATCAAATTGACTTAATAAGCCCCTAATTCCATTTGTAAATCGTCTAGTTGTTTTTCACATGTAGTTTTCTACTTTTTACACAAAATAGCAATGTCAAGACACTTTAAACACTACCCATTGAATTTTTGTAGAAATCAATGATTCTCTTTTATGATTTTAAGAATTTCAGGCAATCCTTCTCTTGACTCTAGCTCTTTAGCTTTATAAACTAGAGAATCAATTAGTTTTAAATTCCTTGCCTCAGATCATTTACCTGGAATTCTATCTTTTCCTACATAGATCCTCCATTACCATTCACTGTAGCCTACACAAAACATACCTCTCATTTTGTTTCTCTAGCATTCATTCTTTTTTTTTCCTAGCTACCTGCTATCTCCCAGGAAACGCATTCCAGTTACTTCTAAGGCCATGCATTAGAATTTCCTTCTATTCAAAGTACCATCCCTCTTTTTAAATGCAGTAGTTCAGTAAGAGTCTGTTACAGCTAAAAGAACATATTCATGTTCAGATGCTACCTTGAAAATCATCCTTGGTATATAAATTTTCTATAACACAAACATATCTGTACAAATCCTACTCATTACTGGCAATCATACATGCGGGGGAAAAACAAAACAAGACACTAGGTCAGTTTAGGTGAAGAAAACTGTGGTATCCTAACAATAAAGCAAGAACAGATACCCAAGGACCCTAGATGAAAACTTGGCTTCTCAGACAGCGGGAGAACAGCACCACCTTCCTCGTAAGCAGCTCGGGTTGTCCAGTTGATGTGAATACCTGGAGGCCCACAGTTTCCTCCTGTCACATCCCATCTAATACAAGATTCTAACCATTGAGCAATCATGAAAGGGGGAAGTCAAAGGAAGACTTTACCAGTGCTGAACAAAGTACCAAACTTCAAAAATCAAATGTGAAAAAAACAAACTCTGAAGCACACCATCCATACAATAACCCAACTTCAAGAGATAGCCCTTCTTCCTGGGTCATCTTATAAAACACATTCAAAATAATTCCCAACTCAAAGCTGTCCATAAAACTTCACTCTAAATTAGTTTTCCCTGGATTACTGTAGTGTGCTTGTTTACTTTAAAGTGAGCTAAGAGGCAGAAGGGCTGTAATATGACTTCATTCTCTAAACAATACCAGAAATAATACTATTCCTAATCTCTATCTCCTCTGTTCTGGTTGCCAAGTCACTCAAAAATTATCTTTGTTGTTTTAGTTTGTTATCTTTGGATAAAATCATTTATGAGAAGTGGATTCTTCTAGGTGTCTAGAAAATATTAACTGAGTAAAAACAAGTCAAAGAATGGTACATATCATGTGACTGCAACTCTTTAAAAGTTGTTACATGGACAAAAAATATATAAATAGAAAACAATGGCTAGCTCTTAAATATAGGAAATGAATGTTACTTTTCATACACTCATTACTGTGTATTTTTAGCCATCGTGTCTGATTTTTTTATAAAGGTATACTGCATACAGACTGTCTTTAAAAATAGTTTAAAAATAGTTTTTCATTCTAGAATTCATCACACAAAAAGAGGCTCTATTAGGTCAACGGCCCTCCACCAGTTTGCTCACAAGAATTACACTTAGAGCAACTGAAACAATCTCTGGAGGTGGAACCTAAAAATCTGTATTTACCAAATAACCATGACATGCAGCTGAGATGGAAATCACTCCTCTGGGCTAAAGTTTCATAAAAGGTATTTATTTAAAAATTCTGAGTCAAAAAAACAAAACTTATCTCATTTGACAACTATATATATTTTTAATCTTGTACAGGATTCTTTCTTACCTTTCTCTTAATATCATTAATTAGATACTGAAAACATGCTAATAATTAACTGTAACCTTGAAGCTGAAAAATACTGTAACAATAAGACTATATTTTGATACTGTTCAAATTTTCTGTTTTCTCCATAAAAAATGATCCACTTTATAGATCTAAATAATCTATTATCTCAAGCTTTTCCCAATGCCAGTGTGGAAATCACTCTCCTTTAGTGACTTCTCATTTGGGGGACATGTCCCTCATGGGGGTTTATTAGACACGCAGGGAAACAATACATTTATAATTTGAAAAAGTTTCTGATTTAAGAGTATGGACAATGAGCCTTATCTGGCCTATTACCTGTCTCTGTACAAAGTGTGTGCCCAGAATGGCCCTAACATTTTGAAATGGCTGAAAAAGAAATCAAAACAACAGGATTTCATGACATAAAAACTATATGGATTCAAATTTCAGTGTCCATTAAATTTAAAAGGACCAGTCATATTTGTTCATCTGTAGCTCCAGAGTTGAGTGATTAGGACAGAAGTCACATAGCCCACAAAACCAAAATCACTTACTGCCATTACTCCATTGGTCCTTTACAGAAAAAGCTTGCTGACTCCAGGTGTACAAGATTTTCATACATATCCAGGGGGTCATGCGTTGTAACACACCCCACTGAAAATTATAGTCACAATATGCTCATTATATTATCAACAATTAACTCTTTGGTTGTTTAAAGATACTTCACCAGCACCTGTTCAGTTATCTCAGGTACTGAAGAGCACAGTACGCAGCTGATACTCTATGGTACACAGCCCTGAACAAGGGGGATGAGTGTCAAAAAGATCCCAAGAGAATTCATTACCATGGCTGAATTAAAAACAAACAAACAAACAAGATGTAAAGATAAACAAGTGATAAACATTTTAAAGACAGAATGAGGGAAATGAATGACAAGCAAGGAGTAAAGAACTAAAAATAGTAAAAAAATTAAGATAGATTAAGCCAACAATTCTTAGCCTCAGTTTATGGTATTGGAGTTATTTGAGAAAAACTAAAAGAAATATCTCCTCCAGAAATTCTGATTTAACTGGGTATCAGAATTAAAATTTCCCATTCACCCACAGCCAAAAATGACAACCAATTGCTCTCTAAGACATAACAATCAAACATAGAATTATGTACAATGGAAAATATGAAATTATAAGAAATGTGGTCTCTGGTTCAGCTAAAGCCAAGAAATATGGGTAGGTAAAGATGAGGAACATGAAGATGAAGATACAGACTGCAGAAGTCTGAGTAGCTCTTGGGTGAATGAGACATTGTTCATAGGCCCCAAAAAGGCTTTAACATGAAGGAGTCATGAGACATTAAATAAGGATGTAATTCAATGAAATTCAACTTTTTAAAGATTACCCTGGTAGATACGGGTAAGTGAGTGTGAGAGGAGTTGAGAGACTATCAAGAATATAGTTCCAAGTGAAATGAAGGTCTGGATGCAGGCCTCAGGACAGAAGAGTTTGCCATTTGCGGATGGCCTGGATAAGCCAGATGAGAGACATATGATGCCTGGCCAACCCCAGACTTCTAATACAGGCAGATGAATAGATAATAGTGTGATGGGATTGGAAGCATGCAAAGAATGTGTAGTATATCTGCAATATTGTTCAAATGTTGGTGACAAGCAAGGAGTAAAGAACTAAAAATAGTAAAAATCAAGTAGAAAAATGTGAATATTACCTAGAGACATTTACATTATAGCCCATATCATTAAAAATAATAAATCTCAAGTTTGTAATACCTGAAATTATTCTCCTTAATTCACAATTGATTTTGTCAAATTTAAAACCTATTATTACTAAAATAATTGTCATTAGATTTAAAGTTTTGTAATAACTTAGGATATAAGAAAGCTGCAAAGAAAGCTGTCCTCATCTTAACAATGTGGAAAAATATAAAATCGTAAAATTTTTCTTTAGCCCATCTGTCAGGTGGGCAACAAAGTAACCTAAATTCAAAGATTCCAGAGAATGGGGAATTTTAGCAAAGGAATACAAATGCCAAGAAAAACAAACTCAAGTGGAAATGCTAGAAATTAAGACAATAAAATGAACCAAAAAAACAAAAACCTGTATTTCATGAGATATGGAAACTCCTCGGGAGAGAGAGGACTGACAAATTCTGTGACCTGTGGTAAAGAATAGGAGCAAGAAATGGGCACCATGCAAATGGTTAAGAAGAAATCAGCTAACATTTTAGCAAACTGTTAAAAAGGTCAAATGTGGATTAAAATGTCAGGCTGGACATACGGAAAATAAGCAATCACTTGCAAGCCTCTGCCCCAAGTCTCTACAGGTTCTCCCTAGAAAAACAGGGCTCTAGGCCGGAGATGGGAGACACCACTGTGTTATGTGTAGGTCTACAGGAGGTGACTAAGGACTGCTAGAAGAAACACACATAACTCTGCCTGCTTCATTTAAAGAAAAGCTAGTAAACCAGAGGGTGACAAGTACTGCCACCCTCGGGAGATAGGCAAAGACTTATTGTAGCTTCTGAAGAGGAATGGGCAAAGAACCAGGGAAGACTCCGAACCCTATCCTCTATGCAGTGTGTTACTCTTCTGAAGAACCACAGGAAACTCCTGCCCAAGACCAGTCACAGATAAAGGGGAGAGTGTGGCTACTGTGCTTAGAAATAGAAGAATGCTAAAATTCACCAGCATTTGCCTAAGCCAAAAACTGAGTCAGGACAGCAGAAAAATATCCTTGCATCCACAAGTCTAATGCAAGTAACAAGCAACAGAGCTGTCAACGAAGTCAAATACAGGGAAAGGCATCTCTTTTGTAAGTACAGAAGAGTTGAAAAATTGTTAATAAGGCACTAACACAACAATGCTGCACCTCATTCCCACCCTAAGGATAAGGCAACAACAGAGAATTAGAAACCTATGTTAGACTTGAAATAACCATAA